TTTTTTTTTTTTTTTGGCGGGCATTCTTCTTAGCTTCGAACAAAAAACTATGCGCAGCATGCAGACAGATACGACAGTGGCTGAGCTTGGTACTAGAGAATCTTGAGTGCTGATGCTTGAAGCCGTCTCAGCCCATGCATTTTGGGAAAAACCAGAGCATAAAAAAAAGATAAAAAGGCGACGTTATTTGGTCTCGGCAGTGAAAAGCAAAGATGTAAATCGACGACGCTCTGATTTTTTTTTTTTTTTTCGACACTATTCTTTGTGAAATCACATTTTTGTAAAGGACGCTGAAAAATGTGTTCCTAACATCCACGAACTTTTGCTGCAACAACACTTCTTACACAAATCAACAGTTATGCACTATTGGCTATCACAGAAAGCTTAACTTTTTCTTCAGTTTTCCTTACTATAGCCCTAAACTTATTAGCCACAGTAACTAACTGCAGCTTGAAGATATAATCCGCAAAAACTTAGCGCAAAGGTCCTAAAAATCGCTTTTTGGAAAACAGTTTTCACTTCCGTGGGATTTTTGTTGCTCAATACAAAACAACTTACTTTCTACCACAAGCTAAAATGTCTGTGATTCTTAAACAACTGCAAACCTGTTGTTCTTTTTTTCCATATCCCAGCCAGAACGCATGAGTTCGCAAATCGCTTGAAATTCGAAAATCCACTGTTTCGAAAATTTAGCTAGAAACGCTTAATTCTTAGGGGTTGCCATACTCTTGGAAAAGTCCAGCAGCTAGTAGCTCATGGCTAAATTTGCTCATTTGAAGACAAAAATGATATGTTCTGATAAATCACTGCAGTCACACTTCAGAAATGGCAATAAAATGCGCAAGTTTTTTGGTTCTCGTAATTCAAAATACATCGCAAACACTGGTTATGCGACATGTGCGAACTCGACCGCGAGAAATGTTCTTGCCAACAGTTGCAGTGGTTTTTGGTGAAGTTTTTAAAGTGCTTGCTTGCTTTCTGTGGCTTGTGGTCCAGAAAGCGAGCTTAATCAAGTTAGTAATCTATTATTATCTGCATAGAAACTGAGAGAGAACGGTACGAAATAATACCTAAAATTTGATTTTGTCGTGGCCCATGATTTCTATGGTCAAATCCAAATTCGGGACTAGTTTTGTAAATTCAGCGTAAATTTTTTCAGGAAAAAATTTAAAATTTGCCGTCTTTCAGTTGACTGAGGTGGGCAGAATCACTAGCTCGAAATAGGTTATCAAATTCGGAGGCTACTGAACTGTGCGTCCAAATGCGAACGAGCTAATATTGTAAATTCAACATTAAGTAAAACATGAATTCGAAAGTTTTGCGAAGCGTGGCAATTCGAAGTTTTGCGTGTACTGACTGGAGGGCGCAACAGCTCACAGCAAAACGCTGGTGCTCACCGCTATTTATTTCTAAAATTATCATTTGCGACTATTTGGAGCTTCACTGCTTGATTTTAGGACACTGAAAATGATCCATGAGGGCACAACCAGGCAACCAATTGACACTCTCCGGGTGTGTGTGCCTGCTGCTACATATGTTGTCCAAAACAATCTGCTTTACATTGCGGTATCCAATTTACCTGCAACAACATATATGGTATGTTCACGTCAGCATTTTGTTTTATTTTATTTCTTTTTTTTTGAGACTGCACTGTGAGCTAACTCGCTAAATGGTCATTCTTTTTTGTGCATAAATTTTTTTCAGTTTTTTGCTCTAAACATTCTTTTCCAATATCTCCTTCTTTCTTTACTCACAAAAACATGATTGTTTCAAAAACTTACGTAATGTAGCATTGAGGAAATTTTTTTATATTTTTTTCAGACGGAGTGAGGATGAGGAGACAGAAGGGGGGGGAAGGGAAGGAAGGGATGGGTGCGACGGATAAGAATGCAAAATTTTGCGGAGTGCTGCTTATACATGTATTTAAAAGTTGGTTAGATCCCTTGATGTTGCTGAAGTACAGTCCCATGCTCTGCAGATATACCAGGATTTCCAGCCTCATTGCACAGCTGTTAAACTTTAAAAGAGTGAATTTGCAGTATAAAAGTTTTCTGTTGTTCAGGTCTTATATCAGCTAAAAATTCTCACGGCAGCTCTGTTCACAGTCACCATTCTCCGAAGACGCCTGTCTTTGGTGCAGTGGCTGGCTCTAGTAATACTTTTTGGCGGAGCGGCGTTAGTGCAGTTGGTAAGTGGAACCTTAACCTTAAACTTAGGCTTTGTTGGCACTTTATTCCGAAAAATAAAACAAGCATTCCCATGCGATGCAACTTTTTATCAACAACAACTAACAACTTGAAACCGTTTAAATATCCATCATGCTGACCAGGCTAGCATCAATTTGCCAGTGAAATGGTGTTCAGACGAAACTTTACGGCACTTTCTGCAGCGAAGACGAGTGACAAATCATTTCATGAGTTTTTTTTTTATTTAGTTATAACAAGAATGAGTTAAACACTTTTTATATTTTATCGAATACACATAGATTTACCGCAAAACTGTAGCGTAGGCTTGTAGATCCCCAAACACACGAATGCAAGTTGGTTACGAAACTTATGTTACATATTACAACCAGTTTGTTGCGTTGCTTTGAGTCAGTAAGCTTACATTTAAAGCAGTTTACTCCTGCAGGCACTGTGCTCCAGGAAACTTTTTAGGATGAGCAAAAAGCCAAAGAAGCTGCAAAGATGGCGTTAAAAGGAAATGGAACGATTAAAAGCGAAAAGTTTTTGCGACGGAGGGAGGTCACATCTCAGAATACCGCAGAACAAAGGCCGTTGGAAGGGCTTACTGCAGTTTTAATTGCTTCTGTATTGTCAGGTAAATGGCGCAAAGTTAAGTAAATTGGCACTCGTCCAGAAGACAATAATTTACCGAGATCCTATCCAAACCCAGGCTGGAACGCACCAGGGGGGCCGGTGCGATCATGCGTTTTTGCACTTCTCGTGCCGTAGCAAGATCGCAAGGAATCACAGTAG